TGCCACCATGCCCAGCTAATTTTTTTTTGTATTTTTTTTTAGTAGAGACGGAGTTTCACCATGTTGACCAGGATGGTCTCGATCTCTTGACTTCGTGATCCACCCGCCTCGGCCTCCCAAAGTGCTGGGATTACAGGAGTGAGCCACCTCGCCCGGCCAACATGAACATTCTTAAGCAACCTCATTCATTAGCAGTCACAAAAGGGAAACAATCCAAATGCCTATCAAGGCACCAATGAATTCTACTAAATAACAAAAAGGAACAAACTACTGATATAAGCAAAAAAAGACGAATCTCAAAACTTCATGCACATCTCAACAACTATACTACATGAAATACATCACACACAAAAACCTATGTACTGTATGATTCACTTTATATGAAACTGTAGAATAAACAAAATTGTAGTGATAACAAGCAAATCAGTGGTTGTCCAGGGCCAGGAGCCAGAGCATGGGATATTAACTACAAAGGGGCAGGAGAAAACTTTTCAGGATGATGGAGATGTTCTATATCCTGTTTGTGTGGGGGCTTATGATGAAGTCTGGCAAATCAATAAACTGTTCACTTAAAATAGGTGAATTTCACTGTATGTAAATGATATCGCTTACTAAAGCTGTTTAAAAACACACAAAATTAAGTGTTTTTCTTACAATCCCTCTCAAAGACATGTGCAATAAAATAAACAATAAAAGAAATTTATTTACCTGATCCCAGTGTTTAAGGGAGAGAGTTGAGAGAGGTGTGGCATTAGCAAATTCAAGATTTGCAAAATGCCAATCAAGTATTTGTCTGTCTCTTGAGGAGAGATATACATCACTGCAAAAGTACAAAGGAGCACAGGATTATTAAAAGATATCACTAGTTCTTCACACTTAGTGTGATGTAGGTGATCTCACTGGGTCGGAACCTAAGCCAGGGCTGTGCCTTATGTGAAGAAATTATAAGTAGGATCTTATCTGTCTTATTAACCTCGTTATCTCTGATGTCTAGAGCAGCGTTAAGCTCACTACGTAAAGCAAATCACATGTAGGCCTCATTTGTTTGAAAAAAAGAAAAAAGAATTCTTCATATGAAACCACTTTACATCATAAAAGCTTATTAGTTGTAAAAAAGGGTCTTATATCTTACACACAGCGTAGACGCTATAGAAAGGATGCGTAGGCCCGACACAGTGGCCCACGCCTATAATCCCAGCACTTTGGGAGGCCAAGGCGAGCGGATCGCCTGAGGTGAGGAGTTCAAGACCAGCCTGGCCAACACGGTGAAACCCCATCACTACTAAAAATACAAAAATTAGTTGGGTGTGGTGGCGGGCACCTATAATCCCAGCTACTCAGGAGGCTAAGGCAGGAGAATCGCTTGAACCTGGGAGGTGGAGGTTGTGGTGAGCCGCTGAGATCACACCATTGCACTCCAGCCTGGGTGACAAGAGTGAGTCTCCATCTAAAAAAAAAAAAAAAAATGGATGTGCAGCATCCTTGAATACAGAACAAAGCAGATTTATGTGGAGGCTGGATGCATATGAAAACATTTCATCAGCATTCACTGTCAAAAACCCAGTGGAAATAAAGCATAATACCTCCCTAGTCTCCAGAATTATGGAAATGTAAAGCAACAGCACCTTCTACTCCCTCAAAAAAGATAATTTCCATTTATTATATCTTTATCCAAATATCAGTTCTTATGGAGAAAGGCTCTCTCTTTAGAAACAATCTATTTAGGTATCTAGGACACATTAAAATATAGAGGCAGGGATTTAGAAACCTCACGAGTAGTCATACAGTCAGGTATTTTCCATTGATCGAACAATTTAAACCACTCACTGACATAAATAAAAGTTCACTATACTTTAGAATTTTCCTTCTAAATCAAAGTGAAAGAACAGTAAAAGCTATCCCTCTGAACTTTTCTGTTGTTTTCCTTACCTTGGAGGATTTGCTTCCAATTCTTGAAGTTTTTCTTCTAGCTTTCCTTGTGTTTCAGCTAATTCATCATATTCCTGATAAAAATTAAGTGAATCTGAGTTATCCTGAAGGGTCAGATATCCACCTACTTTCTTTATACCACAAAGTATAAGGTCTGGATCGTATTTCCTCTTCAGATCATGTATAGGAAGTGTGGCTCAGTTTTAGGCTGGGGTTAGATAGAACTCAAGAGATTTCTGTTTTTGGAGACAAGCTACCATTGTGGGCCTGGAATATTAGGGGAAGGCAGGGAGCACACAGAAGGAGAAAACAATGGAAGAAACATACTAGTGTGCTACAAAGTAGAGATGAAAAATCATAGCAAGGACCATTTCATGAGCATCCCATGTCCCTAGCATTGGGTAAGTACTTTATACATAATTTTATTTAAGCTTCACAATTACCCTTCAAGGTAGGTATTACAACTATGTCACAAATGAGACAATTAAGGAGTCCAAGCTAACATGGCTTGAGATACCAAGTTAGGGATTTGAATCAGACAGTTTGACCCCAAATGACTCTGAAGTCCATGTTTATTACTATTATTCTAAACTGGTAGGGCTAAACTGATATTTCAGATAAAATGATGAGATTATTAAGACAGGATAAGAACCTGCAGGACAAGCAGGTCTTAAACCAAACTAACCCATTAAGTTCCCATGGCTCCATATGTGCCAAACCGTCTTCACTGCGCTGTAGGCACTTGTGATTGGCTAGTGGCTCTCTTTTCCAAAATTCCCAGATCTGTACTATTTCTTAGGATTTCAAGTAAAACCAGTTAGGCCTGTATGTGTACCACACCTTGCATAGGGCGGTCAGATCCCTGTGTTTGCTTTTCACTAAGAACTCGGCAGTAATGTCTCTGGGTGGCTTTACTTCAGATGCTTCTTTGTATTGCTGATGGAGTTCTTTAATTTTCTCTTTCAAATTTACCATCTAAGAAGGAAAAGTATAAATTTACCATTCCAGAGAGTAAGTATAGTTCATGCATATCACATGTACCCTTAGTTTTGGCTCCTCAAAACTACTATCACAACAAAACAGGCTACAATGCAAGGTCCTTAGAATTCTTAAATACCTGTTCTAACCTACATCATTATATCTGGGAAACAGGAAAGAAATCTTATAGGGCTTGACATAAAGGTACCACAACTCTATCTGATAAGTAAGATCGGTGCTGTCTTCTAAAATGAACGAGAAGGATAAGGAGTGTCCCATTAATTTAAAGAAACAACAAAAAAAACCCAGTGTTGAAATAAATTTAATCTCCACCAAAAAGAAACTATTGCTAATGTAACTTAAGCTTATTTTGGAAAACAAATTGTCATACTGTATTTTTTAAATATGTAAAAGGTCAAATAATTTTTTCCCCTAAGAAACGGAGTTGTTCTGTCACCCAGGCTGGAAAGCAACAGTGCAATCTCAGCTCACTGCAACCTCTGCCTCCTGGGTTCAAATGATTCTCCTGCCTCAGCCTCCCAAGTAACTGGGATTACAGGTGTGTGCTACCACGCCTAGCTAATTTTTTGCATTTTTAGTAGAAACGGGGTTTCACTATGTTGGCCAGGCTGGTCTTGAGCTCCTGACCTCAAGTGATCTACCCACCTCAGCCTCTAAAAGTGCTGGGATTACCAGCGTGAGCCACCTGGCCAAAGAATCTTAATGAACCATTCTTAATGTTAGTTTTTTTCAGGTTTCTGATGATACTACACAGAACAAGAGTGACAAAGCCTGCGACTGGGCACCGTATAGGTACCCTGCCACTTGGTAGTTCTTAAGGCACTTTTTTCACTTCATCCTTACCACAATCCATGAAGACTGTGAGCTGGAGACCTCTTCATTAGACAGGATGAAGAAATAAGGCATAGTGAGAGTGAGGCAAGAGTCCAGTCACAGGCACACCCTGAGTATGCACCCTCCAGGGGTGCATATGGACCCCTCCAGGGGCTATTTTCTCCCTAAGCTGATGTGACCTTTGCAGCTAGCAGTGTGAGGAGAAACAAATGATTGGACTTTAATGCTCTGGAGCCTGGGGCTCTGGAAGGTGGTGGCAGAGAAGAGCCCTAACAGCTCTGCCCTGGGTAACAGAGGTGGGGGTGGCGGCAATTCAAGATAAATAATTATGCCAATGAACTGGCTGCTGATTTGTTGGTCTTCACCAACGGAACCTTGGCTCCAGTACAGCTAATCCCCTGCTAGTCCTAGAATTCAGCCGAGGACACTGGGATAACTTTAGAATGACTAAACCAAGCTTGTCCAACTTGTGGCCCAGGACAGCTTTGAATGCGGCCTAACACAAATTCATAAACTTCCTCAAAACACTGATTTATTTATTTATTTATTTTAGCTCATCAGCTATCATTAGTGTTAGTGTATTTTGTGTGTGACCCAATACAATTCTTCTTTTTCCAATGTGACTGAGGGAAGCCAAAAGATTGGACACCCCTGAGCTAAAGGGGACCAGACACAGAGGAAAGATGAACTGTTTCCTCTGGCAACAATTTATCAACAATGCCACACTGAAAGACTGACATATAAAACAGTCTCTTTTGTTACTCATTATTTTCTTACGAATGAGTCCCAGCTGTGTAGACTTTCTCTTCCATGGAGGAAAAAAATCTCAGGAATGCTTTTAAAATTTCTAAATTAAAGACTTTTTCTCCTATTAAAGCTTCTTCAGCTATGAAGAAAATACAAAATTTCACCTTATTAAGAAGCTCTTTCAATTCTTCCTGAGTTTTCACGATCTTCTTCCAATGTTCGATCTGCTCATCTTTGACATGCTTTTCTTGTAACCTAAGAGAGAAAATATGTATGACCTGGTCTCACAGTCAACTTTGCAGAATAAGACAGGTGCCCATCAAAAACATTTAAGGGCATCAGGGCCCACTGAAACTTCTAATACTTAGGAACAAGAAAGTTGGCTAGTGGGAAATTATTTCCTAGGCTATCTTAAATACAGTATAATACTATAAAAACTATGAATTTTAGAAGTGAAAGGGGCCTTAAGGGATCATATAATTATTTTAAATGATTTTTAATTTGGAATTCAATGGTTTCACACAAAAATAAGTAAAAACTAGCTCAAATAAGACTTGCAGAAAAACTGAAAACATAAATAGCAAATCTTTACACATGGAACTCACTACACAGTAAGCAGTATCAAAATACTTACTGAATGACAACTTCCAATGCCTGGCCAAGGGACACAGGCTTATTATTGAGGACATTGAAGTCTAGCTGATGACTAAGGTAAGATGTAGCTTCTAGCAACCGGTTAAATTCTTGCTCTACCATTTCATCTTTCTCTTTAGGAACCTGAAAATCCGAAGTATAGCAGAGTTGGTCCTTATAAAACTAAATATAACCATCTATGAAAACACAAATGCTCTACAGTTTATAAAGGTCAAAATATGTATCTCAAAGGGGAAACCTTTGAGCAAAATGATTCAAATTTTCTTTTCTATGAAGTGGTCAAATCCATTTAAATGAGATATGAAATGTTTGGGCCCTGACATTTCCTCTCTCCCATTTCTGCCCTCAGAGCTGGGACTCCACCTCAATTATTAACAGCCACAAGATTTACACTGGTGCTAACTGAAGTCACATGGAGCACAAGGGGCACTGAGCTGACATGCATTAAATTGAGCTGGCTGACATGCAAACAACACACTAGAAAAGTCCCAGAGAACAAAAACTATGTCAAAACACCTGAGGACCTTCCAAGAATAGGGGCAAGATGGGAAAATAAGAAGCCCAAGGTATCTGCTTCCCCTTAAAGATGAATCTCAGGTGGGAGGAGGGAAGAGAGAAGTGAAATTCATGGCTTCTAGTAAGAACACACTAGCATCTTTATTCTTTTGCAGGGTAATAATATTTTATGGCACCAATAAGTTCAGAATGGAATGTATAAAGCCCTTAAGATATCCATGAGTAAATGAAGGATCAGAAGGTCTGGCTCTTCATTGATGTGGATGAAGAAAACAGATTACAAAGCAGGTCATCAAGCTGCAAGACCAGGATCCTAAGTCACACTGTGTCCCTGCCTATTGATAATATCAGCTAGTTGACACACACCCCTCTGCTACTGCTTAATTCAGCCCAAAAGTAAACTGTATCTGCAATCCTATTGCTGAATTCGTGACAGAAGTGAGAGAAAGAAAAAATATGTCTAAGGCAAGTATTGCTTGTTATAAGCTGGGCTGATATCAGCTGGGAAATGTGATTAAAATACAGTGACCCTAAAACTGGTAACACAAAAATAAAACACTGAAGTAAATTCTAGTAAACACTCAGGAGGAGCGACTCTAGTAAGACTCAGGAGGAGCGACCTTTTGCAGTCAGAGGTAACTGATTGCTGACAAGACCATCCCGGTAAGATTCTACCTCTCATTTGAAACTCCAGGTTTTTGCACTTCCCAACCCAACAGACAATTTCAAACACTAACCTTTGCTCCTTCACTGATCACATAAGTAACTCAACAAGATAAGCCAATGTGTGGCAGAAAGAATCTGGCAAGAAGGGTAAAAAAAATGCCCCCAAAAAGAAAGAGAACTGCAACTCTCCTTTGAACTGTTAATACGACAGACACCATAACTGACTTAATGAAAATCATATTCAAAGCAGTTAAGTTCTAAAAGACTATACATGGGAGAGATCAGGGTATCTTTATAATACCCTTAGCCTAAAGAAAATCTAAATCTCCAAAAATATTCTAGTTTTTGTTAAATGAGGCAAAGAATCAGGCTTTGGATGCTTGGTGCCATTTATATCAGGAAGGTACCTAGAATTGGTGGCTCAAAAACCTCTGACCTACTACTCATTCTACTCCGTGGCCAAAAAAAGAGCTTGTTCTTATTACACAGCTATGAGAGCTGATGGAAGAGACCCTTTTGTCAGGAATTTTATTTACTTTCTCAGCTACTTTTCCTCACTGATGTGATATGTGATGGTCATATACAGAGCAACTCAAACAGTGCTGAAATTTTGCTCAGAAACATGCTACTTCTAGTGTAAATTCTGCAATGATGCTATAAAAGATGGTTCTGGAAATCTAAATTTGGTTCTTCTTTCAAAAAGGAAACAATTACATTTTAATGTGAAATCTAGGTAGTTATGAGGTCTTAATTGATCACAGATGCAATGCGCCTAACTGCTTTTCATGGAGTACAAAAGTGATATTTCTATGTGCTGCTTCTAAAATGCCTATCAAGAGGATGCAATAGCAGCAAGAGGGACTAGGTCACATGTGCCTCTACAACAGGGCAGAATGTGTCAATACACAAGTGTGCAAACTGTACAGATTAAAGCTCTTCCAGTGTCAACTGGATGGCTTGCTTCAGACAAGCTTTAATCTTTGCAGCTAGAATGACAGTCACATAGGGAAGTTCAAACTGAAAAAGTACACAGCACTCAGGCTCAGTAACTGGGGTCCAGGGTGTGTGGTAGAGAAATATTTAAAGGGACACTGTCAAGGTTAGAGGGACCAAATTTGACCTTTGTTTCTTCCCTGTTTGCTGAGCAGCCCACTGGATTCATTACACTTTCCCCCTTAGTCCACCCACACCAACCACAAAAAACCTAATGTTTTACACGCGCTTTCAATGACAAAAACTCAAATGGCACCAGCCCAACATATAGGCGCAACTCTACAACAACAAACCAGTGTGAATGTATGATGGAGAGGATCTCTGAAAGGAAAAGATTTAGGTTTCAAGCTTTTAATGGGTTATTGTAAACAGTGAGGAAAATGATTTGAAAAATTATGAAAAAAATACCTTGACAGTGTCCTTTTAACCAGTGCAGCAGAGAGAGAAATAAACTGTAAATAACAGCCCAACAGCCACGTCAAGTTTAGTTTTGTATGACAGCAATAAAATCAAGGCTTTAAACACATAGCATGACAGAAGCAGTCTGTTAGCTCAGAAGCTGCAACCACCAGAGAAATAAGGAACAGATTGTACAGAGACCAAATGGGAAAGTCAAGGCATAGAAATGGCCAAAAGAAAAGCAGTTAAAAAAGGCGAGGGAGGGTGGGGAGAGGGAAGTGTCAGAAAGTGAGGAATAAAGTAAAACTCAAAAGAGGAAAGGAAAAACACAGAACAATAACAACAACAACAAAATCAAACAAACAAAAACCAAACCAAAAGATTGCTGCCACATTTGACTGACACCAGATGACAGGGCTGCATCTCCGGTACACCACTCTAACCCGAGGCTCAGTCATATGAGATTATGTGAGATTGTCAGTCACCAGGCCCCATCCATTTTCCACCTAGTTAAGCAATTACAGGAGTGTTGCAAGTGCAACCAGGGAGAGCTTTGCAACCTGCCTTTTTCCCCACTAACATTAAAATTGCACTTTGAAATTAAAGGAAAATTTGGAAAATAATACATAAAATACTTGTCCCTTAAGAAATCAACACTGACTGGGAGAAAACAAAAATGTGTTTTTAATACCCTTAAATCAGAATCATTTTAAAAACAAGCTAGTTAGAAACATTCTATTTGACATACCCAGACAATAAAAGGAACTAACAAATGACTACCCCAACAACCCCAAACTACCCATGTTTTAAGTCATTTATTACCCCTTGATGAGAATCCTTGGATTTTATTAGTTCTACAAATAATTATGTAACAGTAACAAAATGGAATTGAAATATTGGCAATCACTAAACATAAGTCACAATAATTTAAATTTTACCTGACTATTCTAATCTAGATACTTAACTTGTATCCTGAGAAAGAAACTCAACAAATGATTACAACGGGTTTTAAGTATTTCTACAGTGCAACATAGTGAGAATTTGTAACAGCAAACCAAGAAGCATTTTTGGGGAATCGGCCAATAATATAAGAACCTTCTATCTAAGAAGCAAACAAAATGGGTATCACTTTAAACACATTTTGATTGACCTTTTGAAGCTGTTTATTTCTATATGAAAGGCTCCAGGTAAATAGCTCCTTCAAGACTAAGAGACCTTGAAGAGTCTCATTGTTCCAAACAGGTTCAATCCTGATTGTCTTGGTTCTGTAGATTATATCACTAAATATGTCCAGGGGAAGGAAAGCCTATGTGTCTAGCCCATGCAGAATGTGGGAAAGCTAAACAACTTTCTGGACAAGGCCCCTGATCCTGCAAGAAGTCAAAGGAATAAGGACAGCTCTCTTTAGTTCAACCTCTGGTTTCATTCTAACAATCTCTTTAGGTCTTCAAAAAATATTGTACAGCCAAGTCTTCATAAACTCTCCAGCAGCAGAGCAGAATGGAGTTAAATGAAGCAATGTACACTAGGTAAAGAAAGTTCTGAAATTTAGCCAGAGATATCCCCAGAAAGAATCAGGAAAAAAAGCAGTAATGGCCAAACAAGGCTAGTGAAGGCCATGGTCAATCTCCATCTCCCCATCCCATGCCATCGAGCACTTCTTGAATTATGGTGAAGCAGAAGATTAAGATTAGTTCATTTGGTAAAACCTGGAAGAAGCAATTTACTTCTGAGGAGTCTAAATCTGATTCTCAACAGCCAAGAGAAATGAGATATAGCTATTATCCCTAAAGAGGGAATATATCTTTAATTCAAATAAAATTCAATGTGATTCTAGGCTGGGCACAGTAGCTCACAACTGTAAATCCCAGCACCTTGAGGGGCTGAAGCAGGAGTATTACTTGAGCCCAGACTTGAGATCAGCCTGGGTAATATAGTGAGACCCCATTTCTATAAATAATTGTTTAAAATCAGGTATAGGCGTATGTGCCTGTGGTCCCAGCTACTCAGGAGGCTGAGGTGGGAGAATCACTTTAGCCCAGAAGGGCAAGGCCGCAGCGAGCCATGTTCTGCAAACATGTTCTGCAGCCATGTTTGCAGAACATGGCTCACTGCACTCCAGCCTGGGCAACACAGCAAGATCCTCCTGTTTCCAAAATAAAAATAATCAGTGTGATTCTATAGAGACTGTTGTCTCTCCCCACTCTCACCACATAAGGAATCTTTTTGACTTCCTTAAAGCAGTGATTACAGTGTATAGAAAAGGTATACACAACATGTCTAAGCAGTTCTTTCTAGCAGTTTTTAGCATATAGTAGAGGTGTTCAGTAAATTCTTGTTAAATGAATAAATTAATAGAATTTGGAAAAACGAAGTTAGTATTATAACTATATTTAAGGAGGAAAAAACTATTTGCAACTTCAGGACCATTAAAGGCAGGCATGAGATTTTTACATTTATAAACAAGCATGGATTGGCAGTAATGATTTTAAAGGGCAGAGAAAGGCTGTCATAAAGATACTGAAGATGTTTCTTCAAAGGAGGAAAACCAAAAGGCCAACAGGCCTGTATCAAAAGTGTACTAAGCTAAGCACCACTGTTTAAGAATACAAATGAAAACTGGCTAAGTTATGACAGATACCTAATACACACATAGTTAATGGTGTCTGTAAGAGACCTGACACCAATTACTTTTCACATGCTGCCTGTCATTGTTCCTCTTAACAGCTGAGCCATTCCCAAGAAGAAAAATCAAAGCTCAGTTTCTCAAAGCAGTTCCGGAACCCTTTGGATCTCACTTGGTAACCACACACACACACAAACACTCCACAGGAGACCAGAGCCCTTGTGATACAGAATACTACAGCCCTGTGGAAATTTGATTAAGATATCCTTTCATTATCACCCCCCTCCAAGAAAAAGTAAAGCCCTTGAGTTACTAGCTGGTGTACAGGAGATGCAGAAAACATTCAGAGCCATTTTCACCATCTCTCCCACCAATTGTGTTTTCAGTCCCCTCAGCAGAGACCTACAAAATGTTCCCTGAAATGTGAATTACTCTATTTCCCAAACTTCACCATGTCCAGTTGAAGCAGCTGATCATAGCATAGGTCAGAGTATAATTCCATCACCAATCAAATGAAGGCAGCTGCTATACTAGCTCTGATTGTTTTGTAGGCTTAACGAGTAGAGAGCTCTTCTACTTAGAGGGATATGCTGAATATCCCTATATTATTTTATATCTCTATATTATATCCCTAATATTAGTATCTTTACTAGGGAAGCTCTTGTTCTAGTCATTCAAAGCCATGACATAAACTTCCCTTGTCAAAACAAACACAGAAACTCAATACACTAACTACAAATGTAGGAGAGAGAACAGAGAAGTAAACTTTTTGAGGGATTCTTGTGATTCGTGATTAAAACATAAAATAAAAATCACTTGCTACATGATTTCTTTTCCTACAGCAACAAAGTGTCTGGGTACAGAGATATGTCCTTAAGACACTATTACAAGTGATATAACTCTGAGTAACTTTCTGGCCTTCTACAGGATGATATTAATTTCTATATACTAACAACAGAACCAATTACTCCTTTTTTGACTGAAGTTGTCCACAAAGCATAAAGAAATAGAAGCCCATTTCATCCAACAGTTTACTAAAGAAAAATCAAAGACTGAATGAATTCTTACTTTACGTGGGCCTTGCTGGCTCCTAGAGTAACTACTGAAAGAAAGCTCTCAGATGAGACTCAGCTGATGTGCACTCACTCACTCCACCCTCAACTTCCTTGAAATGTCAGCCAGGCATAGTCTGGCTGAGTATGGGAATGTGAACCAGAACATTGGACAACGGATTCTGGTTCTTCAACTTAGATTATGATAACCTTAGGCAAACACATGTGTGAGCTTTAGTTTCTTCTCCTGCAATAAGAGAATAAAGCTACTGACCTATCTCTTTAGATTTCTAAAACCATGAAATGTATTTGTAATTATAAGCATAAATTGTGGGGCTCTTTGTGCTTGTCCTATAAACTTATTCACAAGCTAGTTTAGGCTGGGCATGGTGGCTCACACTGGTAGTCCTAGCACTTTGGGAGGCTGAGGCAGGTGGATCACCTGAGGTCAGGAGTTCGAGACCAGCCTGGCCAACATGAAGAAACCCCATCTTTACTAAAAATGCAAAAAAAAAATTGCCGGGTGTGGTGGCGCATGCCTGTAATCCCAGCTACTCGGGAGACTGAGGCGGGACAATCGTTTGAGCCCAGGAGGCAGAGGTTGCAGTGGGCCAAGATTATACCACTGCATGCCAGCCTGGGTGACAGAGCAAGACTCTCTCAAAATTAAGATAGTTTACTAGTTAATGGTTGTCCATTCTTACTCTGAGATAGACTACTGGAGCCTGCAGTACAGAAACATTAGCATGCCTTATGTTTGATTAACTAAGGCAAGCCTAACTCAAAGCTGCAAAGAATCCATTCCCAAATTTGAGAATGCTTTAAAATCTTAACGCTTGGTTACTACGCCAAATACAAATGCGTCAACTTAGAAAATCCTATATAGATCACAGTAGAATGACAACTATCAATTTTATGGGGAAAAATATCCCTGCATTCAAAATGCTGAAAGCCACAGAAGGTTAACAACTGTTTACAGTGCTACTCAAAGGGCTGGTCCTGATGAGATATGGATAAATCAATGCACCACTTTCTTCACTTCTGAAAGTTTTGCTACTAGGATAAAAAAGACACCATCTGAATTAATAGTGTAGTTAGTGGTGTAATTTTTTTTATCTCATCCCACACTGGTAACCAACAGTTAGTTCACAGACTAACAGCCAGTGCATGCCCACCTGAGGACAGTAGTGGTAGAGAAACAAATGTTTTAAAAAATGCGCTAAAGCTTATCTAATACCAAGAAAGCAGACGTTTCTCTGTATAGCTCTACTAGAAAAAAAGTTTTCTCTTTACTGTTAGAAAGACTTAATGAACCTGCTCTACATTCAGGAAAGTCTAAAGAAAAAGATGGTGTCTCAATGATCCGTGATTAATCTTTACTGTGGTCTCTATCTCTTCTTGAGGACAATACTAGCCACTCTGGAGCCTTGCTTTCCCTCACCTCAATTCTATACTTATTACCTACTATTAATATTACACTTAAAACACTGATTTAATCATGTCACGTCCCCTGTCCTCAAACCTCTCAAGTTCCAACCTACAATCAAGCCTAGCAAGCAACATTCTCCACAACATGGCCCCACCCTAAACTTTCTATCTTCCTATCCTCACTGGTATAATCCCATCCTCCTTTACAGATTTCTCTGCTTTGACTTAAACCTCCTCTGCCTGCAATGCTTTTCCCTTCCATAGACACATGTTGAAGTCCTGGATCTGCCATTCACAAATGATCGCCTTCCCTCCAAATCTCTTACTGCCCTTCCCCTCACATCTTCATACACCCTCTTGCCATCTTAGTTCTTCCACAGTAATTTGTTCTTCTATCTAATCCTTGGGTTGACTTTGTGTTACTGGTATTAATATATTTATGGGTGATATGTTTGCGATTTGCCTTAAAATACTCCAGACTTCCCTGGACTCAAAGATGCAGGAATGGGACACATAAAACAAAACTGGGAAAACAGAGGTTCACTATAGTACTCTTTCTACTTCTGTCCATGTTTTGAAATTTCCATAATAAAAAGTTGGGAAAAAAGAATTATTTCTGTATAAGTACCACTATAGCAGGGACTAGCTTATTCATCTCTACATCCCTTACAGGTCTTGGTAGAGTAAGAAAAGTTTACTCAATTGCTGAGTTAATCTCTACTTCACCCTTTCTCTCTCATTCTGTTCAGTTTTTTCTGCAAGAAGCCTCCTGTTACCTACCCCGCCCAGGCCCTGGTGGGAAATCTGGACCAGGATGGTGGGGATGGAAACCAAAGCATTCCCTAAGAGTCTGTCCTTCTCTGATACGAACCCCATAAGGCCTTAAGGTAGACAGGAATAAGTGAGGATGTTCCTTGAGACCTATCACACAAAATTCAAGAGCTAGGATCCAACCAATTTTAGTAACAATAGCTAAACCCACCATACACATAAGAAATCTCCCCTGCCCTCAAATAGAAAGATAATATATGCTTATGTCCTAAGAAGTGTGGGCTCTCATCTTGATAAAGGAAGTCAGTAAAATTTTTGCTAAATACAAACTTTTGAATTTCACTTCTAAAAAAATTAGGACCGACTTACGTAATCAAAGCCTATTTTAGAGTTGTTAAACTGTGCCACTCCCCATACCATTCATCACTTCCATGCTACTGTCATAGTTAAGTATAGGAAGCTCCTATGCCTCTGGTCAACAAATACTTTAGCCTATCTAAGCATTTGGGAAAGTACCATTTGGCTATTAGCCCATCAAAAATTTTAGCCTATAAACACAAAACTGAAGTCATAAAGAACACGTGGAGCTAAAGCACATGATGGAAGGCACAATACAAACAAAACGGAGGATCAGGCCAATTCCACAAGTCCCTTGGAGGGTGGCCAATTCCACAAGTCCCTTGGAGGGTGGCCACGGCCAAATAAAAAGATTAACTGTCTAGCTAGCCTTCACTAAATATCTAAAGATAAATGTTAAATAGACATGTAAATGTATATACAAGAATCCCTTCCTACACAGCTCAGAGTTAAGAAACAACTAGAATAATGTTACATCATCTCTACCCTTAGATTATATATATACACTTACGTAGGTATATATATGTATGTGGATATATGTATATGCTCATCCATACCATTCTCCTAAAATTGAACTGAACCAAAGAAATGTTGAAAAATTCTGTTTGTCCTCGACTTACAGCTTGTCCGTTCGCTTCATAAAGTGGGCATTTTTGCTTGATCTTGGCCAGTTCCATATTTACTTGTTTGCTGACAACAGCCATAGGATTCCCTCCTAGAAAAAACTCAAGCAATTAAATTCAATAGGCCTATGAAAAGAGAACAAAGACCTCAAAGTAAAAAATATTTTTACTCAAAATAAGAAATGCTCGAAAGCTTACAGTATGTAAATTTCTCAAAAAAAGCACTCCAAGTAAAAATATGTAAGATAAATATGAAGAATGCAAAAAAAATTACCTATAATCCTACTTATTAACATTTTATTACAGAGCCTTCTAGATTTTAAGTGTATAAAATTATAGACACACACATAAAAGGATCATAACGTATTATTTTATAATCTTTTTTCAACTTAGCAATATACTGTGGATGTCATTTTACATTAATATGAAGTTACATGATTTTTAGTGGCTGCATATTTCTTATTGTATAATATTCTAATTTTCTAGTCTGTAGTTTCTAATGCTGTGCTATCAAAAACAATGCTAGGGCTGGGCAAGCTGGCTAATGCTCATGACCTCAACATTCTGGAAGGCTAAGGAAGAAGCAGCTCTTGAGGCCAGGAGTTTGACACCAGCTTGGGCAACAGAGCAAGGCCCTGTTTCTATTAAAAACAAACAAGGCCAGCTATTGTGGCTCATAAAGCTACTCACCTACCTCTTTAGATTTCTAAAGCCATGAAACGTATTTGTAATTATAAGCATAAATTAGTGGGGCTCTTTGTACTTGTCCTATAAGCTTGTTCAAAAGCTAGTTTAGGCTGGGCACAGTGGCTGACGCTGGTAATCCTAGCACTTTGGGAGGCCGAGGTGGGTGGATCACCTGAGGTCAAGAGTTCGAAACCACTGCTGTAATCTCAGTGCTTTGAAAAGATTGCTTGAGTCCAGGAATTCAAATCAGCCTGGTAATATAGTGAGGCCTCATCTCTACAAAAAAATTAAAATTAACCAAGCATAGTGGTACATGCCTATACTCCAAGCTACTAGGGAGGCTGAGGTAAGAGGATCACTTGAGCATGGAAGGCAAAGGTTGCAGTGAGCCAAGATCATGCCACTGCAATCCAGCCTGGGCAAAAGAGTGAGACCATATCTCAAAACAAACAAAAACAATGCCATATTAAAAATGCTTCAAACACAACATTATCTACTTATCTTCTTAGGATAATTTCCTAGAACTAGAAAAAGACACTCTAGGTCAAAAGATATGTAAAATTTACGTTTTATATATACTGCTACATCCTTTCGGGAAGACTATTTGGCAGTTTACCTCTCACTAACAGAAGATGACTATCCTAAACCAATATACTTTAAAATTGCATCTCTGGCTTTAAAAATTTTTTGAGTCTCATGTCACGTACTACAGCACAAACCAATAGCTACTTACCAAGACCTGTTACCACCATGGCTCCAAGATCAGCTACATAGTTTCCTTTGCGAAAGGTAGCTACTCGTCCACCCACACGATCCTGTTTCAGAAATTAAATAGCCAAAATCATCAATTCTGTTTTAACCACAAACTTGGCATTTTGTGTACATACCATACCATGGCTCTGTCTTCTATAATTTAAAAATAAAGATGTATGGGCACAAAGAACAAATGAAGTTTAACTTGAAGACTATTTGAATGAGAAGCAGGTAACAAATGATATGTAATTAAATGTCATATAACTAAATGACACAGAATTAAATGATGTGATATAAAACAATTTGACAGTTGGAAGATATATTCAGTCACAGGTACCTCTCTACCCAGCTGCCTATAATACCTTTTAATGTACAGGATGAACGAGGGCCAACCACATAGACCAACACTAAATATCAACTTTTTACCACTGTAATCTGACTCTTACACCCTGATTCCCAATGTTATCTGGGAAAAATCTGATGGATAATTTTTCTAACAAATGGTTCTCCAGTGCAGCCCTATGCCCAGGTGCAGAGAGTCTACTGAACATAGCCTGTTCACGATACCTTTCATCCCTAAATAGGCCCAGGTTTATCACCACAGACCAGGCATTTTCAAGTATGGCTGAGATGTAGCAAAATAATTTAATGATTATAAATAATATAACAGTACTCTGGGGACTCCAAACAAAAATGCATAACAAAACAAAAATGTACATACTAGATTATAAACCCCTCATAGACAGGAATCATAATGGTCCTATTAGTCCTTATTGTATTTTTTAGTACAAACTATACAAAGTGCACAAAAATGTTTTGTGAATATTTTAATAATAGTATATCAAGAAAATATTTAATTTCAATTTCCCCATACTCTTAAAAAATTAGCAGTTTAATGCCATTCGAAAATAGATTTCAAAAATTATTCATGAAAATAGCTTGAATAGTAGCATCCTAATATGATGCTCTTTTTCCTACTGTGTGCCACTATTTCTTATTGCTCCTTCTGTTTCCATTTCTCTCTCCAGGACTAACAGAAAAGAACCAATATCTTGGCTTCTAAAAGATGGTTCCTGCCTGAGAAGCAACTTTTTTTCTTTATCAAAAATAAGGAATTCACTCTGTTCCATCACCAAACACAACTGCCTCCTAACAAAGGATATGTCCAGGAAGGCCCCTAACTACAAGAAACAATGACTTGAAAATATCTGTCAAGAAAACAAATACTTTAAAACCCTACTCACAGAGTACCTTTCAAAGCATTACTATAAACACTACTTTTTCAAAAACTATAACACTATCCAAAATACTATTATACAAATCAATTTGGCTTAGTTCAAGTTGTATAATCCTTAATTTGCAACAGATAATTTCCTTACCGTATTTCCATTAGTTCAAGCCTCTAAACTCAAAATGAAATTCTTACCCTGGCTTCCAAAAGTGTGACATCCATTCCAAAACTTTGTAACTGTCGAGCTGCTGCCAAGCCTGAGACCCCAGAGCCTATAATAATTACCTTTCCTGTCTTTTTAGCTAAAAGCAAAAAATGAAAAAAATAATATTTTGTTGTAGGCATAAAAGTTTGTACTTAAGAGTCTTATTTCATGAAAACCTCTAGTTTCTTAACATAATATCTTAACGAAGTAAATAGTTCAGAGAGTTATTTTCAAAATATGGAAACTACTTGAAAACAAATTAACAAATATATGAAACTTAAGAACTCAAATTCAATGTCAAACATTTATAAATCAAATCCATTACCTTAAGATTTATTTTCTCATTACCTCAGTCATGTGTTTTAGTATCTGTGATTCCTAGTTAATTGGTTAATAATCTGCTTCATTTACTTCACAATTATATTAGGACACATTCTATTCTAAAGCAATTTCCTTTAACCTCTACCCTTGTAGTCTTTAGTATCTCTTTTTGAAAAAAATAAAGTATTTTTTTAAAAAAACAACCATTAGCATAAAGAATGGGTCAATGAGAGAAAAACCTCAAATCTACTTGCAAAATGAACTCCTTTCATTTTGAACAAATTTTGTTGTTTTATTCTGTTTTTTAAATTGGAAATCCAGTAGCTTTTTCTAAGTAGCTATCAAACTAGAAATCAAGGCAAATGCACATTAAGAGATTTTATTTTCAACTTGACTTACAAGAAGATTAACTTGGAAATATTTTTAAACATAGACTTAAGAATCAATATAAAATGCTAATGTCATCATAGACATAAAATACAGTCCTGAAACCATAACTTAAAAAGGTAAAATTTATTAGACAGGTAGGAGGTCCTTACTTGGTAGGGGTTTTATCCTTTTATAGATGCCAAAATTGATAAGACCATGACGCTCCAAATAACTGTGAACTCGGTGGACAAGCACAGTATCACCTACAGAATAAGTGGATTAAAAATATGGTTTTATTTTCAGCAGTTTAAACAATATGCTTCTAACTCTTCCATTTCCCCATCATCAAGTCCTTAAAAACATCTTTTCCTGGCCAGCGCAGTAGCTAATGCCTGTAATCCCAGCACTTTGGGAGGCTGAGGCAGGTGGATTGCCTGAGCTCAGAAGTTCGCAACCAGCCTAAGCAACATGGTGAAACCCGTCTCTACTAAAAAAAAAAATACAAAATATTAGCTGGGTGTGGCAGCATGTGCCTGTAGTCCCAGCTTCTCGGGAGCCTGGGCAAGAGAACTGCTTGAACCCAGGAGGTGGAGGTTGCAGTGAGCCAAGATCACACACACCACTGCACTCCAGCCTGGGTAACAGAGCAAGACTCCATCTCAAAAAAATTAAAACCTTTCCATTAAACTTTAGGTTATGTGACTCCTTTTAAAAAGTAATTCTAAGGCTGGGGGTGGTGGCTCATACACGTAATCCTAGTGGCTTAGGGAGACTGAAGTGAGAGGATCAGTTGAGGCCAGGAGTTCAAGAGCAGCCTGGACAACACAGCAAGACCCTGTTTCTAAAAAAAACAAAAAATTAGCCAGGCATGATGGTACATGCCCATAGTCCTAGTTACTCGGGGGGCAGAGGGAGGAGGATCGCCTGAGCCTAGGAGTTCCAGACTACAGGGAGTTATGACTGTACCACTTGCACTCTAGCCTGGGCAATAAAGTGAGATCAGGTCTCAAATAAATAAATGAATGGATGAATGAATGAATGTGATTCTTGGCCAAGTGCAGTGGCTCACATCTGTAATACGGCACTTTGGGAGACGAGGCAGGCGGATTGCTTGACCTCAGGAGTTCCAGACCAGCCTAGGCAACACAGTGAGACCTTGTCTCTACCAAAAAGTTTTAAAAACCAGCTGGGCATGGTGGCTGAAGTGGGAGGATCACTTGAGCCTGGCAGATCAAGGCTGCAGTGAGCTGTGAACATGCCACTGCACTCCAGCCTGGGCAACAGAGGGAGACCCTGTCAATCAATCAATCAATTAATCAATCAATGTGATTCTCAGAACTATTAGTCCGTGAAGCAGACCAAAATGTATAACACATAATTTGGAATTGTATTGATTTAATTTTTAGTTTTTTTTTGAGAGACAAGGGTCTCACTGTGTTGTCCAGGCTGAACTCAAACTCCCGGGCTCAAGGAATTCTCCCACCTCAGCCTCCTGAGTAGCTGGGACTATAGGTGTACATCACTGTGTCTGTCTAATTTAGAATTTTAAAGAATTTCACACCACCACAGAGGGAATGAGAATAAAACCAAACCTTCACAAAGTAGTTATAACAGTCATTTACTTTGGCAAAAACATCACAAGACATTGTTGGTGGTAAGTGGGAATAAGAAAACCAGATAGCAAGCCAATGAAGTGCTAAAGTATTCCACGGATCAAAGCTAGACAATAGGTCTAGGAAGAGTACTTAGCAATCTCTTGCACTCATCTGTTAACACAATTTCAAGGGCAGAAAATGAATAAAAACATAGAAAGCAGGTTTTCTATAAAATTTATTTTTGCACAGCACAAGGTGAAACAAAATGGAAATATGAATGAAATAATTAATTATCAAGGAACCATTAGGCTCCTAGAAGAACATATCAACAATCCAGTACAAAACTAGTCCTTCTGAACACACTACTTACTGTTATAAGGTGCTTCTAATTGTTGGAGAGTAGCCTCAAATGTCAGTTGAATCTTTGGATTATCCAACCACAACTGCAACTGCATTTAAATGACATAAATTGTATTACATACAAATAGACATATGCCATTTGACCATCTTTAAAATCATCTTTTGGTTGGCTGCAGTGGCTCACACCTATAATCCCAGCAGTTTGGGAGGCTGAGGCAGAAGGATCACTTGAGCCCGGGAGTTTGAGACCAGTGTAGGCAATATAGTGAGACCTCATTTCCACTAAAAATATAAAAATTGGCTGGGTATGGTGGCACATGCCTGTAGTCCCACCTACTCAGGAGGCTAAGGCAGAAGGATTGCCTGAGCCCAGGACATCCAGGCTGCAGCTAGCCATGATCGTACCATTGTACTTCAGCCTGGACAACAGAGCAAAAGCCTGTCTCAAAAAGTAAAAATAAATAAAATCATCCTTTTAACTTTAAGGCCCCAGACATGGGCTTCCCTTTAATTAAAACAGTGAGGTTATACTCCTAACAGAAACTGATGAAACACAAAACCATATCAAATAAGTAAATTACTGAAGAAGCTGGGGTTATTTAGCCTAAAAGAGAAAACCACCTAGTAACTTGCCAAGTCCATACTGCTAGCAGGGAGCAACTAGCATTTAAACCTGGGTTATATGACTCCAGAGATACTAAGTAGATAAAATCTACAAAATCTAATGATCAACTAGATATGTTGAGGTTGGGGAGAAAGGTGTCAAGGACAGCGCCTCCATTTTGGTACAACTAAGCGAGCTGGTATGCCAGACGCTGAATGGAATCACTGAAAGAAGAAATAAGATAATGAGTTTAGCTCCAAGACAACAAGAAGAGATATAAAATAGCTGGATATAAAGCTGGAGCTCAGAAGAGAGAAAAGGTCTGGAGTCATCTGCTTATGGTAATAACTGAAGTCAAATGCATTGAAAAGGGTTCCTAGAAGAGAAAACATGGCGAGAGGAGAACCAGCTTGGGAGTTGGTTCAGGTAATGGCCGATTGTTAGGGATCACCCTACAAAACAATCAGAGAAGACAACCAGGGAGGCAGGAGAAAAAACAGAATACTGAGTTATCGAATCCAAGAAAGTACTGTGTTTAAGAAGAAAGGACCAGCCAGCTATTTCAAATATTGCTGGAAAAAAACAGTAAGATGAGGAATAAAAAATATTATGGTACAATCAATGGGCTCTAAAATGAATTCTCTTCAAAGTGAATATATACTTGCAAAACACAAGACAAACTAAATACTACTACTATATTTAAATCTTTTTCTTTCTTTTTTTTTTTTTTTTTTTTTGAGACAGAGTTTCGCTCTTGTTGCCCAGGCAAGTCACGCAGTGGCACAATCTTGGCTCACTGCAACCTCTGCCACCCAGGTTCAAGCAATTCTCCTGCCTCAGCCTCCTGAGTAGCTGGGACTACAGTGCCTGCCATCATGCCTGGCTAATTTTTGTACTTTTTAAAAAATAGAGATGGGGTTTTGGCATGTTTCCCAAGCTGGTCTCGAACTCCTGACCTCAGGTGATCTACCCACCTCGTCCTCCCAAAATGCTGGGATTACAGGGGTTAGCCACTGCGCTGGGTCATATTTAGGTCTTAGCTAAAAATTAATAAAGACTGCTCCATAAGACAACTTTCAACCAGGAAGAGATTAATTTGGCTATATGTAAATAAACCAAATTACTAAGGGATTATGAACAAATCCGCACAGATACTCTACTCTGTGGCCACTGTAAAGTAAATAGATTTCCTCAAGTGCACGCTGAGCCCAAGTTCCTCACTCCCAACACAAGTCTTCCTTCTCCTCCTATAAAATAATGCTTAGGTCACACATTAGTTCAATAATCTTAAAGTTGCGATTTTAAAGTACTATAGTTTAAGACTAGGAAATTGATAAAATTCTTGCAGCAGAGCTTGATTTATGTTCTGTTTCATAGCCAGAGACCACAAATCTAACATGGGGCAACCCTTCACCAAATCTGGAATTTTGGTGAATCAGAGAAGACAGAGATAAATCCGCTGCTCGAATCTAAGTAAAAAGTGAAAACTCCCTTCAGATAAAACAAACAAAAAACCCCCAACAATTTTGCCCCCCCTCCAAAAAATCCACTTAGAGCAAATGTTGATATGCTACACACAGAAACTGATTCAATTATAAGACAAATCAGCCTTAGACTACACACTAAGAATTTTCTGTTCATTTTTTAAAATACTCATCATCTTTTCTTCACTGTCTTTTCTGTTTTACAAAAACCCAGGATAATCAATTGCTCTAGCTAAATGACATTTAGCAATCCAAATTTAGCAGTGGTTTTGCAATCTAAAAGCCAAAATAAAGAAACTGGTGGTGGCTAAAAAGCAGACATATCCATGATCTCTCTGAGCTATATTCATATTCAAATTAGCTAAATCATGAAGTAAATTTCTTCTGCTTTGTATCACCCTAGAGTAACATGAGTATGTTCTGAATAGCACTTTTCCCTCATCTACATACTCTATGGCTAAATAAGAATTCCTGATGAATAAAAGATATGAAAGAAAAATTTACAGAAGATATATAAATTACTAATGTGAAAAAGTAGTCAGTCTCAGTAGTAATCCAAGATATGAAAAAGAACTGAGATGGACTGGGCTCATAAAAGTAGCATAGATTATCACTGTTTTAATAAAAATGGCAGGGCAGTGGGGCTGTTGACTGGTTCAGCCTTTCTGGGAAGCGATCTGGCAATATGTACCAAAACTTTTAAAAAGTGTTCATAGCCCTTTGACAAGGTAGTTTTCCTTCTAGAACTCAATCATAAGGAAATAATAACCATAGGTAGAGTCAAGAATGCATAAGACTGTCCAGAGTTAATTATAATGAAGCAAAATTGGCCACAAATGTCCAGCAGTTAAATTATAACACAATTGTCAGACAAAATATTATGCAGATACTGAAGTTAAATCATTCAGCCAGAGGAAGAAGTTGAACAAGATGAGCAGAACAGGGTAAGGATTTCTCTTACCTTGAGCGGGAAGGACAAAGTGATTTTCTAAAAACATTTTTTAATGCTTAAATAAAGCTTTTTTGTGTGTGTTTTCTTTGTTTGTTTCTTTCTTTTTTTAGTGATGGAGTTTCACTCGGTTGCTAGGCTGGAGTGCAGTGGCACCATCTTGGCTCACTATAACCTCCACCTCCTGGGTTCAAGCAATTCTCCAGCCCCAGCCTCAGCCTCCTGAGTAGCTGGGATTACAGGTGTCCGCCACCATGCCTGGCTAACTATTGTATTTTTAATAAAGACAGGGTTTCACCATGTTGGTCAGGGTGGTCTCAAACCCCTGACCTTAGGTGATCCGCCTGCCTCAGCCACCCAAACTGCTGGGAATACAGGTGTGAGCCATTGTGCCTGGCCTAAATAAATATTCTTAATGTGTATTTATGAATATAGTATGGATTTATGTTGTATTTATGCTGTAAAGTATAAAAGGGATCCAAAAGAATGTATCCAAGAAGGATCTCAATTTTATGAAAACAAAAATTATATATACATTTTTTAAATACCCAAAGGAAAAATAACTATTAACAATGCTTATCTCTGGGAAATAGTATTACAGATAATTTTAAAAGTCTTCCTTCCCTTTCTGTTTTTCCCATATTCTCTATCAAAGCCATATGTACTTGTTATAATCCAGGTGAAAAACCTGACATGGAAACTTACTGTGCGGTTTCTAATGAACAGAAAAACTTTCTGGGTCTGCTGTGGTCCACTGATAATATCTGGAAAACAGGCTGCTTCTTGAGAAGTCATCCGGTCATGAGGAAGTCGGCTCTGGAAAGCTGCTCCCTCCACACCTAACGAAGAAAGCAAAGGACATCCAGGAAAAGTGCAAGTGAATACAAAACAGGGGTAGTAATAATGCTCAAACTCCTTTGCCTCATTCACAGACTGATTTTTTTTAAAACTTTTCAATTGTCTCAATAGCTGAAACTTCCTTAGATATTAGCCACCTGTATGAGCTTAACATTCCAAAATTTATACTTTACTGAAACAATATACCTTATAAGAAAAGGCATTTAGAATAGCTTCTTCATCCATAAAATAAATTTGCCATATTAGATGATCTAATTAAAATTAGCACTACTGACACAATAAAATTTAAAACTAAAGAACCAGAATAAAGGAAAATGCACTAACAGGAAAGTGAAAAAAAGAAGCCATGGAGTGAAAAGCACAATCCCATGCCTTCTTTCAGAATTATAGCATGAAACAGAAAGATGATGCTAGGGTTTAATAATCAACAGCAGAAAACCACAATCCCATCAACAGTACCATCCATTAGTAATCATAATTCAACGCTGGTAAGCAGTGAGAGAAATTAAGCAGACAGTAAGAAGAATGCAAGGAATTTATCTTTTCTGACAGAAACATTAGAATGCTTTACTATATACTACAAGTAAAATATTACTACATATACTATATAACATATGCATACAGTGTATACATACACTATACACTGCAAGTAAAATATGTTACTTTCTTTTTTATTTTGAGACAGAATTTCGTTCTTTTTCCCCAGGCTGGATGGAGTACAGTGGTGCAGTCTCAGCTCACTGCAACCTCACAAGCAACGTCTGCTTCCAGGTTCAAGCGATTCTCCTGCCTCAGCCTCCCGAGTAACTGGAATTACAGGCATCTGCCAACACACCCAGCTAATTTTTTTTTTTTTGTATTTTTAGTAGAGATGGGGTTTCACTGCATTGGCTAGGCTCGTCTCGAACTCCTGACCTCAGGTGATCCACCCACCTCGGCCTCCCAAAAATATGTTATTTTCAAACTTTTAATTAATTGGGTATTGTATTGATAGTTTTATAAATTGGTAGATAAGTACATCTTTATAAGGTGATCTTAAAAACACAAGCACAGGGCCAGGCGGAGTGGCTCACACCTGTAATCCCAGCAGTTTGGGAGGCCAAGGTGGGCAGATCACAAGGTCAGGATATCGAGACCTTCCTGGCCAACATGGTGAAACCCCATCTCTGCTAAAATATAAAAAATTAGCTGGGCGTGCTGGCACGCACCTATAGTCCCAGCTGCTTGGGAGGCTGAAGCGGGAGAATTGCTTAAACCCAGGAGGCAGAGAGTGCACTGTGCTGAGATCACGCCACTGCACTCCACCCTGGCAACAGAGCAAGATCCTGTCTTTAAAAAAAAAAAAAAAAAAAAAAAAAGCACAATAAATGCAAATGTATTTATAAGATCACCTTATAGATGTATTTATCCACCAGCTTATAAAACTATAAAACAATCAAGACTCAATTTAAAGAGTTGCAAAATTCCATACCATTTAAGTAATTATATGTAAATAACAAAATAGGCACCAGATATCCATAGATAATCTTTTTCTTTTTTTGAGAGGGACACTCACTCTGTTGCCCAGGCTGGAGTGCAGTGGTGCAATCCTGGCTCACTGCAACCTTTGCTTCCCAGGTTCAAGGAATTCTTCTGCCTCAGCCTCCCGAGTAGCCGGGACTACAGGCGTATGCCTGGCTAATTCTTTTTCGTAGAGATGGGGTTTCCCCATGTTGGCCAGGCTGGTCTTGAACTCCTAGCCTCAAATGATCCCCCCGCTTTGGCCTCCCAAAGTGCTGGGATTACAGGCATAAGGCACCATACTCAGACCATATATAATCATTTAAAGCACATAAAACAAGAAGTTGGAAGCACTGATAATGAAAGCAAAACTAACACAAAGGCATTATTAGTAAGATTAGGAGAGTAAAAAAAAGGCAGGTAAAGATGTAATTCAGAAAAGTATAGCTAAGCTATTAAGGAGTCTGTTTCGCAGAGACATTCAAACGGCAAACACTACCTAGAAAAAAACCACGTTTAACAAGTGGTCAAGCAAAAATGCCTAATGCTAATTATGGGCCACACATTAAGAAATACTATTCTTAGAGACATAAGAGAAAAAGCTATGCATCCTCTGTAGATAAATGAGGGCATAAACACTGTGTCTCATGTTACTAAATCAACAATCCTTACAATTAATCCATACCTAAAATTAAAGACTGTCAGAACAATTTATTCCTTAGGCAAAAAAAAAAAAAAAAAAAAAAATATCTTATAAAAAAAAAAAAAAAAAAAAAAAAAAATTAAGAGCCATATCGTAGGTGGAGCATGAAATTAAGGCAGGAAAAGAAGAAATGCTTACTACTGTGGATACAGTTTATTTCAGTAATGTGAAATTTTCTAAAACTATATGGCTTTGATGTCCCCAGCCCCCATTCCCAAATCAAAATAAATAAAACCTGAAAACAAAAAAGCAAGACCAAAAATATCTCACATTTTAAGGAACTTATCTACAGATTAATTCTGAGTATCTGAACTAAATATCTTTAAGTAGGTTACTTCTTACTTCTAAATATCTCTAAGTAGGTATAATTCTTAAGTGTATACTATTAACATGAAAATCAATTATCTCTATTAAATTCCACTTCTCCCTGTCAAAAATGGGAGTTTTCTTTCTTAGCTATATTATCTTCCATACATTTAGTAAGTAGTCATTGAATATCCTACTGCAAAATACTATTTTTCAATAACAGAAAAATCACGTAAGAGAAAATACCAAATTTTATAGTACATCTGGTTTCTTCCTTACTGCAGATGTTCTTTTTTGTGGGAGTGATACAGGGTCTCCCTCTGTTACCCAGGCTCCTGGAGCACAGTGGCGCCATCTTGCACTGCAACCTGCGCCTTCTGAGCTCAAGTAGCTAGGCTGCCTCAGTCTCCCAAGTAGCTGGGACTACAGGTGCAAGACACTATGCCCAACTAATTTTTTTATATTTTGTAGAGATGGGGTTTCACCATGTTGCCCAGGCTGGTCTCAAACTCTTGAGCTCAAGCAATATACCATCTTGGCCTCCCAAAGTGCTGGGATTACAGGCATGAGACACTGTACCTGGCCTCAGGTTTTTTTTGTTGTTTTATTAATTTCATTTTTTTTTGAGACGGGGTCTTGCTCTGTCGCCCAGGCTGGAGTGCACTGGCATGATCTCAGCTCACTGCAACCTCTGCCTCCTGAGTTCAGGCAATTCTCCTGCCTCAGCCTCCCAAGTAGCTGGGATTACAGGTGTGTGCCACTACACCGGGCTAATTTTTGTATGTTCAGTAGAGATGAGATTTCACCATGGTGGCCAGGCTGGTTTCAAACTCCTGACCTCAGGTGATCTGCCCACCTGCCTCCCAAAGTGCTGGGATTACAGGCATGAGCCACCGTGCCTGGCTCTCAGATGTTCTTATAAAAAATCACTCTAATGTAGCTGGCTAATTTGGGGAATTTTTGAGAATATGCAATGATTTAAAAATGTTATTTATATGTCAGCAGTTTCAAAGTATCTTTAAATCAAACACCAGAAGTTTAAACAAAGGCATTTAAAGAAACTAAACGTGGTGATACTAATGTATGCTTGGAATAATACTCTTCATGTCTATCTTCGAAACAGCATCTTAAAAACTAGCTATTCTCAATACTCTGGTATCATTTTTAAAAATGAAAAATGGTCTCTAAAAACTCTCAATAATTATTTCCTTCTCTTTGATTTTTAGCGATACTTATTTTAAGGAATGAAGACCATTATCAAAACCAGGGTCAAAAGCCTGCAAGATAAAAAGCTAACCTTTTCTTAAAGAAACAAAATGTATGTTAATTTGTAACATAAACTGTTGAGAAGCTAAATCAAAATGTCCTTTTTTTTTTTTTTTTTTTAACTCTCAGTCTCTTTTTTTTTTTTTTTTTTTAAACTATCAGTCTCCGTAGAGACCGTCAAAAATTGCCAGTGCCGACTCTATTGCAAGTCGTCACGGCGGGGTACAGGGAAAAGTTTTCAATTAGCAATAATCGCTCCTCAGATAAACCTCATTGGCTGTGACGCTGCCGCTGCGCAAAGCTCAAAACATCCTTCTTATAGGATAGTACCAAAATGAAGTAATAGACACCACTTTGGATAATCTAACTCATGAGTACCTATGTCTTTCAGAGGAAAAACCTTTTAGGATAAAAATGATTTTAATAACATCCTAAAAGTACCAACAGTACACATTAATTCAGAAGTAATTTATACTGGTTCTAATAGTTGTGTACTTTGGTGTTTGTGTTTTCCATTAAGTAAAGGAATCTGGTATTCTGAAAATTTAGAATGTTTCCAAAATATTGTCTTTGAAACATTCTAAAATTATTAAAAAGCTCCACGATTGCCTATATACCAGCTTGGTCTTCTGTTCAATTTGTTCCTGCTCACCACCTTTATACAGGAAATCCCAGCATCACCTTTCAGAATGTAGTCACGCTAAAGCAGAACTGCCCTTTCTAATGGTCTGACTGGCTTCTACTTTCTCTGAAAATATAGTAAATGTAGTTAAATATTTGAAGGAATAATTTAGATCTTTTTTTTTTTTTTTTTTTTTTTTTTTTTGGTAGAGACAGGGTTTCACCATGTTGGCCACGCTGGTCTCGAACTCCTGACCTCATGATCCACCTGCCTCAGCCTCCCAAAGTGCCGGGATTACAGGTGTGAGCCACTGTACCTGGCCAATTTAGACCTTTTGAAGTAGGTTAATTAGAAGGAGAAAAAGTGGGAGAGGCAGGTGAGATGACAGGTCTTCTATTCTATTAAATAATTTCCTCCTGATTCTGGTACAATGTAGGCAGCATCTTGACAGCAGTAAGGTAAACAGAGATATAAAAATTAACAAAGAAAAGAAGGCCTCCACAAGAGTTACTTGCCTTTGATTTTTAAAATCAAGTACATAACTATAACTAGATTTCTAGTGTGAAAACAAAAGCCTGATGCAATCTACATATTAAATACTTTATTTTAAAGGATTCTAAGGGTATAAGGAATAGCCTTTGCACTAAGCAGCAAGATCCCTGGGTTTTCCTTCTCCAGAACTGCTGGTGCATTGTTGGTCAATTTATTTAATTCTTTGGGTTTCAGATCCTAATCCATAAAACAGGGGAGATACAATACTGTTTGAAGGCAGGAAGTGAGACAAGATGACCTCAAGTTCTCTTCTAGCTCTAAGATTTAGGATGTGTACACCAACTTGAGGTGGATTTTAAGAAGTAAAGACATGATCCTGGCACCAAGATACCCATGAGGGTCATCTGGCTTTAAGAGAAGAATGTTGATCTCTTACAAGCACGTTTCTAACCTTGATTATTTCACAAATGCATGCTTCTGAACACGACAAAGACCTGAAGAAAGATCTTGAAGGGTTTAGAACAGTCACCACCATTCCTAGCAACACTTAAAATTCATGTTCTACTAACAGTAATCAGCAATATTACTGTTTTATATGAAAGTCTGCTTTTACTTTCAGCAATATATGATATTGTTTACTTATGCAAAAGAGCAAATAGTCACATAAAAACAAAACAAAAAACAAGAAAACCTGATTTCTTTCTTCAAGATTAAAACTCTAAAGGCTATTGCTGATCTTCAACAGTTCCATGGAAGATCTAATTGTGAGTCACTTGATGAAAGGCATTCTTGAAGGTTTACATGCCACAGATACACTCTGAATGGGGTTTAATTCTGCTAAGATAACTGATTATCAACCTGCAATCTTTGGGACATCATTTGTAAAAGTCTACTCCTAACATGCTGGATCCCCTAACTACTAATTGCTGTATTAACAATGAACTATCTTTGATTCAAGAGAATAAATACAAATAGTCCCAGGACCTGTTATATGCAAACTGCAAGAGACAAATAATTTTAAAGTAGACTTAAGACAGCTGAAAAATGACAACCTCCAAAAGTTACGTAGCGCCTATTCCAATTCTATCAAAACATATCTATGAACCAGCTTTGAACAATTGGAACAAAAACATCCTTCAAGAGGTAAAGGATGAAATCCAGATATGTTATTTTGGATGGCTGGGTTAAATTTTAACTGTGCCAGATGGTGGCCCCTACAAATTCTTTTACCTTTTCCTAGAAGTAGAAATCTCATACTGTTTGGTCTGAACAGAAGAAGTATTTCAAACAGACTTTTCAAAAGACATTTTCACATGAGAAACAAAATGTTTAAACTGAAGAATGATTAACTATGTAATGTTGAAAAAACGTACCCAATACCATGTAACAACCATTTTTAAAAAGATGTCACTTGGCCACATGGTTCCTGACTAGTCCTAGAATGCCCCTCAGTCTTTTCTAAGACTTGTGAGCCTGTGGCATTTCCTCTCTGTGTATACTGCTGTATTTCCCTTTAAGGGTCCCATGATTCCTAAGTCTATGTTTTATATCATGTTTACTATTAATATAAAGGCTGCTGGGGAGAAAAGTACCCGCCATCTCCTCGAAAACACAAAGAGTGGAGGGCTGAGATCGGCCTGAGGACTTCAAAAGGTTTTGCTTGCTTTTGTTCTGGCTACACTCTCTCCTACAATACTACTATGTCCTGTGCGTTAAATTTCACCTGCGCTTCTGGCTACAATGTGGATACCACAGCCAAAAACACTTGCAAGCATCAATTCCTGACTTGGCGGCTCTTGCTACTAAGTGGCAAGCATCTAATGCCACCCTCACCTGATGCTTGGCCGTCTCCATACCCTCCAGAACTGTCGTCTTGAAGTCCTCCTGCTTGCCCTGTGGAAGGAAAGAGGAGAACTCAGGGACCTTACTCCATAAATTCGGATAATATCTGGACATAAAGGCCTAATAGCTGGCGACTCATGAATTCACCACCAACTAGTAAACCCATCTTCAGAGAGCTCCTTCTTCTGGAATCAAGGCCCAGGGAATTACATCATAGTCTTCCATTTTCTGGTCAGGAAGTTTCAACTTTACATGCTGATTCTTGTTGAAAGGCAGTGGAACAAAGTACATAGTATTTCTAATCACTAAATCCTTGCTGTCAGTCTTATTTAATATTAATAGTCTGGATAGGGGAAAATAGATGCCAAGGGTCTTTTACTAATGGTTGCTAGACTGAAAATGGAGGTGACATAGACTCTAGAACCTGGAGTTGCATTTCAGCATCTCAACTTAATATCCCTTCAACTTTCTAATTTTAATGAAAAATTCTCTCCTTCACTTCAAAGCAGGGAGTATAACTAAAAGACTTAGTCCCCAAAGAAGTTTCATGTACTCTAATCAGTAGACACTACTACAGCTAAATATGCCAGTGCTTCCTAAATAAAACTAAAGGATACACAATAAGACACTCTGTACACATGTGCCAAGCAGTGTAGATAAACACACACTTGTGGGAACATACAGGAAGGCAGGCAAGATCTTGGATCTTCCGCTTCATGCTATATAACAAGCTTTGTCAAGAAATTTTCCTCATTGATTAATATGTAGAAGCAACTTCAAGAAAAGAATCAAAGCTTGAAAATTCAATCTGAAATGGAATGGACTGACTTCTGAACTCTTCCAAAATCTACCATCAAGACAGATGTTACAATGCTCTTAAGCTTCTAGTCACCTGGTACACTACAAGAAAATGAGCATGATCTTTGGAAGATATAAACCACTACCTTCCAATGATCTAAATAAACTCAGACAAGCTTCATTAAACAGTTTATTTTAAAATAAACACCCCAATAAGAAAGTGGATTGATTATTCCACCATTTGAGTTAGAAGGGAACAAAGAGAATAAGAAGGTATTTAGATATAGGAAATTATTTCTAACAGTGATATTAGAATGTGTTACTCTGTTGTGAAGCTAGAATAGAATCTCATTCTAAACTTGTTCCACTATGCTCTTGTCTGAACGGTCCTTAAGATTACTATGCTCCTCAGACAAGGCCCAAGGTATACTTGTTTATAGCCCTTGGAAAAGGGTTTACAATCATGAAGAGAAGATCAGCTTACTAGATCCATCTGCAAACTTATCTCGAAAATATACGTCCTACATTTTAAACTGTATGATAAAGTTTAAATCAGATACATTCGTTCTTAGTAAATTCTGGATTTATTAATAAAAAATACTTTGTAGAGCTGGGCACGGTGGCTCACGCCTGTAATCCCAGAACTCTGGGAGGTCAAGGTGGGTGGATCACTTGAGGTCAGGAATTCAAGACCAACCTGGCCAACATGGTGAAACCCCGTCTCTACTAAAAATAATAATAATAAAAAAAAACTAGCCAGGTGTGGTGGCACTTGCCTGTAATCCCAGCTACTTGGGATGCTGAGGCAGAAGAATCACTTGAACCCAGGAGGTAGAGGTTGCAAAGAGCCAAGACTGTGCCACTGTACTCCAGCCTGGGCGACAGAGTGAGATTTCGTCTCGAAAAGAAAAAAAAAAAATTATATATATATTTCATAGGGTTTCAAAAAATGTTGTCATTTTTTTGTTTGGTTCCAAATAGAGCAAGACTGGATCAGAAAACTGAATTGTATTTGGAAAAGAAAAAGCAGGGAGGGATTCAGAACAATGAAACAAATAGTTTCCAAGAATCACATTTAAGATTCCAAATAACACAGCTCTTCTCTTTCAAATTATGTTTATGACTTGGCAAAAATAAAAGTAACAATCTCTTGTCACAAAGGTATCTCACCACTACTAAAAACTTAGATAAAAAAAGAAAAACAACAGCAAAAAACTCAAAAAACACACTTTTTTTTTTTTTTTTTTTTTTTAGACGCAGTTTCTCTCTTGTTACCCAGGCTGGAGTGCAATGGTGCGATCTCGGCTCACCGCAACCTCTGCCTCCTGGGTTCAGGCAATTCTCCTGCCTCAACCTCCTCAGTAGCTGGGATTACAGGCATGCACCACCATGCCCAGCTAATGTTTTGTATTTTTAGTAGAGACGGGGTTTCACCATGTTGACCAGGATGGTCTCAATCTCTTGACCTCGTGATCCACCCGCCTCAGCCTCCCAAAGTGCTGGGACTACAGGCTTGAGCCACTGCGCCAGGCCAGAAAACACACTTTCAAGCTAGCTTGAGTCTGAATTACTTTATCTTTCCTATTTCTATCATTTTTCTTCTTTTCCAACTATTATACATGTCACGCAATGAACTCATTAATTTAACCTACAGATAGCTCTTGACTGATTTTTGTATGTGACTCAATGGTGCTTTGACTCACAAAAAAATATGGTTTTCTTACCCGACTTGCGTACTCAACAGGTTAACAAGAACAAAAGAGCAACGAAGCAGTCTTTTTTGTCTTCTGGTTTTGAAGAAAGGAATTTTAAAACTTCTTTAAAAAGATACTGTATTCTTTGGCTGGGTGTGGTGGCTCATACCTGTAATTCCAGCACTTTGGGAGGCCAAGGTGGGTGGATCACAAGGTCAGGAGTTCAAGACCAGACTGGCCAACATGGTGAAACCCCATCTCTACTAAAAAATAAAAAAATTAGCTGGGCATGGTGGCTCGTGCCTGTAATCCCGCCTACTTGGGAGGCAGAGGTAGGAGAATTGCTTGAACCAGGACCCGGGAGGTAGAAGTTGCAGTGAGCTGAGATCATGCCATTGCACTCTAGCCTGGGCTAGAGAGTGAGACTCCATCTCAAAAAAAAAAAAAAGATACTGTTTTTTTTAATTTAAAAAATAGGAGAGATACAGAAAATATTCAATACCCTGGGAAGATTTTTAAAGGGATCCCATAACAACAAAATGTCAAAAAAGAAATCAAACTCCAGGCCAGGAATGGTGGCTCATGAGGTCAGGAGTTCAAGACCAGTCTGACCAACACGGTGAAACCCTGTCTCTACTAAAAATATAAAAATTAGCCTGGCGTGGGGTGTGCACCTGTAATCCCAGCTACTCAGGAGGCTGAGGTGGGAGAATCACTTGAACCTGGGAGGCAGAGGTTGCAGTGAGCTGAGATGGCGCCACTGCACTCCAGCTTGGGCGACAGAGCAAGACTCTGTTTCAAAAGAGAGAGAGAGAGAGAGAGAGAGAGAGAGAGAGAGAAATGAAACTCCAAAGTACTATTTAAGCAGAGAAGTAGAAGGAAACCAAGCGGAAGGTACCACATAACATAAGAAATTATGGAAAACAAAATTTAAAAGGGCTTAAAATTAAGAAACAAGATATTTATCTCTTGATGTTAGCTTGCTTGGAAATAAAGGATGAAGTTGCTACTTTCATTCCAATCATACTTGAGAGAATTTTGAAGGTGCCTACTTCTCCAAAGACAACTGAAAGATAATCTTTATTAGCAGTATATTATGGACCAATTCTTGAACATTTTCTTAAAAACAGCACACATAAAACATTTGCAGCTAACTTTTCATCCAGGTAGTCTCTGATTATGATAGATATAAAATGCCTTATTCATCTGCTTTTTGGGTCTTTCCAGCCTAGGACTCTGCTTCTGATAGTGGCTCAGAGACACATTAACAGCAGGAAAGTAGCACTGTTAGCTTTCCATGAGCGCAAATTCAAAATAGAAAATGAAAATATTCAAAAGCAACTTTTTAATAACACCCTGATTTTGGCACCACTACACAAGAGAGACTCTTTTGTTTTTATCCCAAACCACCAAATCTACAAAATATTCCTCAAGCTTGAAGCAGAGACTCTTTTTAATTTTTTAATTATTTTTAGAGACAAGGTCTTGCTCTGTCACCTAGGGTGGAATACAGTGGTGCAATCATAGTTCACTGTTACCTTGAACTCCTGGGCTCAAGAGATCCTCTTGCCTTAGCCTCCTGAGTAGCTAGGACTATAGGCATGTACCACCATACTTGGCTAAATTTTTTCTTTTTTTTGAAAGGCTCTCGGTATGTTGCCCAGGCTATTTTTGAGCTCCTAGTCTCCTACTTCAGCCTCTCAAAGCACTCAGATTATAAGCATAGCCACCACAATCAGCCTAAAGTAGAGATTCTTCAAACAGCTTATTTGTACATGGCAACTCCAAATTGAAAATGAAGATTCTTTTCGTTTATCTTATGTAACAGCCTTTCAGTAGTCCTCTAGACCTTCAGATCTAAGAGTCCTTGAACAGCGAAGTGTTGTAGTTATAATCACACTACTCAGTGTTTTCTCATCTTAATTCAAATACTCAAAAGACCACTCTTCCAAGATCTTAAAAGGAAGTCTATGTTAACTTTCAAATGCTTTTATCTGGCAAACAAACAAGGAGGTGAAAATCACTGGTTGGCTGTTCCTAAGAACACAGGTTCACATTCACATTTTGACTAGTTTCTTGAAATCACATTCAAATTATAAACATTTTAAGAAACTTCTACATCTAGGAAGCAATGATTTCCTTATAGAAGATAAATTTATCAAAATGGCCAAATTTATGGAATAAAAGTGAATGCCACCCTGTTGATTTCAATTTAACTTGATAAATTAGCAGGTGAAAAAAAACTTCAAAAGTTAAAGCCAACTTGGAATATAAGTCTTCATCGTATTCACACACTAGTTGAGTTTATTTAATAATCTCACTAATTCAATGTTTACTATATCCACCCAAAACTCCAAAGCACAAATAAAAAGTAGAATAGGTAGACTTTGTTTTCAAAGAGTTATAATCCAGTTGGGAAAAGATGAAAAATACCTACAAGGAAACTTTTGTTGTTGCTGTTAAGAAACAAGAAGCTGACACATCTTAGAGAATCAGGCTTTCAGAACAATTCCGGAGAGATCTGGATAGACTGCGAGGCAGTGAAACCACCACTGTGGT